AATACAACCATCAATTTTGTCAACAAATATCTTCCTTAGGGTTGACCTATTTCTTAAAACATGTCATTGTATACCTTTTTCAGTCAGTTATGTCCTGTAATTGAGACAAATAAGTGCATAATTTTACATAGTATAAGCAGCCCTAGCCTTCTTACAACTCACACTTATACCACTTGACAAACTGCTCCCAAGACTGATATTTAACCAGAAACCATCTGTAGGCCCTAATAGTTATTTGTGGTTGCTATTTATTATGACTGGTGATTGATTACTGTCCTAATGGGTGACTGCACCTTTTCTGATTATAGACAGATATGTCATAGTAGTTGTTGAATACTTTATATGTCACCTTGATCACACACATTTATCTCAGACAGACAATACAAAAATAAGTAGTTCTTTCTTGGCATCCCTACATAAATCTTACTCCAGTCTATGTTTTCTTCTGGCCTGACAGTCCCATGGGTCTCTATTCATGACGCTCTTAACATGGCTTCAAGATTGTACTTAAGTGTCTCAGCTGAAGACAATCAGGTGGCACTGGGCACAGTCAAGAATGGGGAAAAGGTAAACAAAAGGACAGTGGGCTTCATTAAACCATAAGGGCAGCAAGTCTCTTCAGGACCCTTACAACGTATGACGTAATTTGGTCATATTGATTCTAAAAGACTCCAACTTTCTTAAGTGGCCACTTTAAGGGACAGCAGCATAATTTGGCCAGATGAGTTTCAGTAAATTAAAAGAAAGTTTACCTTTATTATTCACACGTAATGAATATTAAGTATGAATAATTAATATTCTAAAATATTCTTTTAAGAAGTATAATCTAATGAGTGTTATAGTCCAGAAATGCAATGTAACAGGAGGAAACTGTGGCCAAGGCAAAAACACCTACAATTTGTGAAAGAATAGTTGGACTCAATGAAATAACCTTGTTATAAGCTGTTTACATAGTGTTGGCACAGGGCAGTCCTGTAATAAATGCTTGTTCTTTCATTGCTGTATTAACAAAATAAATGCTGTTCTATGCTGAAACTCTAAATCACATTAAATTCGCACTAACATGACAACAAAGCTGCAGAATGGTATATGGGTACATCTCAGGAAAGAGCATTTTCCACTAATAAAATGAAGTAGCAGTGAAGTCCCAAACTATAACACAAGAATTGATCTTGTGTGTATGGAGAAGACATCCATGCCAAACATGAGCGTTCATTCTGATTCAAATTTGTGAACTTAAGCAAAAGAAACACTTCAGAGAAATTCATCTTCATGAAAAAGAATTGTCATACCAAAGTCTCGTGCTATTTAAAATGGACTTTGTAAATAATATGACTCATTTATTTTACGTATTGTCACTGCGTCTCTACAACAGACAAAGCAAAAGACTTGTTACTACACAGCTTCTACTCTCAAGCAGCTTACAATCAGAATTCAGAATCTCACCTCCCAACCTGTCCTCTTCAATATCCCCATCTCAGTATATTACTCATTTCTCATATAAGGAAGTTATCTTTAAAATTTCCTTCTCTTATGTCCCACAGCCTGTCAAAAATCAAGCCCTGATATTTCTACTTTGTAAATATCTATCGACTTCTTCTGAACCTCTCCATCTCTCTTTCTTCAACCCTAGTTCAAACCATCATCATCTTCTCTCTTCTGGATCCCTCTGGCTGAGAATTCAGGCAGTGAAGCCAGATCGTCTGAACTGAATTCCTGGCTCTGCCATTTAATGTACGTGGAACCTTGGTAAAATTGTTTCTTTTCTGCTATAGTTTGAATGTCTGTGTGGTCTGAAATTTATATGTTGAAACTTGCAAACCAAAAACGTATCTGAGATAAGTCTCAATCAATATAGTGTATTTTGCCAAGGTTAAGGATGCGCCTGAGACACAGCCTCAGGAGGTCCTAACAACTTGTGCCCAAGGTGGTAAAGGTACAGCTTGGTGTTATACATTTTGGGAGACATGAAACATCAATCAATGCGTGTAAGATGTACATGGGTTTGGTATGGAAGCACAAGACAACTTGAAACAGGAGATGCCAGGTCATAGATAGATTTAAAGATTTTCTGATTGGCAATTGGTTGAAAGAATTATTATCTAAAGACCTGGAATCAATAGAAAGGAATGTCTGGGTTACAATAAGGGGTTGTGGGGCGGGCGCGGTGGCTCACGCCTGTAATCTCAGAATTTTGGGAGGTGGAGGCGGGCGGATCACGAGGTCAGGAGTTTGAGACAAGCCTGGCTAACACGGCAAAACTCCGTCTCTACTAAAAATACAAAAATTAGCCGGGCGTGATGGTGCGCACCTATAATTCCAGCTACTTAGGAGGCTGAGGCAGTAGAATCGCTTGAACCCGGGAGGTGGAGGTTGCAGTGAGCCAAGATCACGCCATTGTACTCCAGCCTGGGTGACAGAGCAAGGCTCCATATCAAAAATAAATAAATTAGTTAATTAAAATAAAATAAAGTAAGGGATTGTGGAAACCAAGGTTTTATCATGCAGATGAAAGCTCCAGGTAGCAGGATTTCAGAGAAAATAGACTGTAAATGTTTCTTATCAGATTTAAAGAGTCTGTTCTATCAGTCTTAAGATCTCTGTGTTGATGTTTGTGAAGCATGTCTGACCCCCATTTCCCATCATGGCCTAAACTAGTTTTTCCGAATAATTTGGAATGTTCTTGGCCAAAGGGAGAGGTGGGCTTAAAATTGACTTCGACTTTTATTTCTGGTTTACAAACTTAATCACCAATGTGATATTACAATGTGAGGCCTTTGGGAGGAGATGAGATCATGAGAGTGGAGCCCTTATAAATGGGATTAGTTACCCTTATAAGAAAAGCCCAAGAGGTCTGCCTTGTCCCATTCCACCAAATAAGAACACTATCAGAAGTCACTATCTGTGTACCAGAAAGTAGGCCCTTACCACACATTAAATCTGCTGGCACCTTGACCTCGGATTTCGCAACCTCCACATCTGTGACAAACACATTTCTATTGTTTACAAGCCACCCACCTTACTGTATTTTGTTATGCAAGCCCAAATGGACTCAGACATCTTCCTTGTGCCTCAATTTGCTCATAGTTAACAGGAAAAATAAAATGGCCTACCTCATTATGATGATTTAATTAGCCATTACATTGTGTAAAGTCCTTAGAAGAAAGCCTGGCAACAAGTATTCAACACATTTTAGATAGCCTTCCCTGCTGCAATAACTTAAAAACATTAATCTGCATTTTTGCCCACTTGGCGTTATTATTTTGTTTTGGTTTTTGGTATATCCAGAGTGATTTCTCCTCTTCTTAAACAAAATCCTGATTGTGTCAAGACTTCGTTTCAATGACTTCCCATTATTCTTATGTTTAACCAAAATCCTTAATATTGCCTACAGGTTCCTGCATGATCTGGCTTTTTTTTTTTTTTTTTTTCCATCCTCAATATCTGCCAGCTTTTGTTAAATTAATAATAATGCTCAACAAACAACTCCCCCAAATCTCAGTGACTTAAAATTTCAAGGGGTCATTTTTGCTCACATTACAAGCCAAATCTGGGCCAGCTAATCTCTGCGACTCTTCTCTAGCATGTGAGGGCAATTTTCACCACTGTCTTCACATTTGGGGATGAAGGTGGAAAGATCCACCTGGGTTCAGTGCATGCTGTTCTATCAAGGCAGAGGGCAGGAAAGAGAATCCTAGTTAAGCCATGCCATTGCATTGAAAGCAGTAGCTCATGTATGAAAAAATATTATGTCTATTCATATTCCAATGTCCAAAAATATATAATAAGGCCAAGCCCAAAGTCTAGGCAGGGAAGCATCCAAGGGCAGAAAAGGAATAAATAATTGTGAAAGAATATATAATTCAGCACGCTTGGTGAGCTCCACCATATTGGTCTCTGTTTCTTTCCTCATGTGTTAGTGTCTTGCTTTAAGTTCTTGCCACATGCAGTCTGTCTAGAATGTTCTCTTTCCTGCTCTTCATGTTCTACAAATATATAAAAAATTCCATCTGTTAGATTTTCCCCCATAGCACTTTCCAGAATGGTAAGTGCAAAAATAATTGATTCACTGATTCTTGAATGTCTTCCTCTCCACCACCAAATCTAAATTTGAATAAAAGTGAAAGCTATTTGGGGACAGAAAAGGTGTTAAATCTCTTCTGAAAGATCACCATTTGAGTAATATTTGAATTGCCTAAGGACATGGAGATTGACATTTTGATTAACAAACGCCCATCAGACACTTGAGGCAAGGCTATGAATTTAATCCAGTTTCCACTCTCTACTTTTGACTTCATGGTGAAGATAAAGCCCAAAGGACTTTAGAATTAAGACAACAATAAAAATTGAGATTACCTTGCAAGCAGTAATAAAAACAAGAAGTTATAGGTACCACAATAACAGGAAATCTGTTTTTGGAACATCAAAGATTTTTAAGAATACCATTATTCCCATTCTGTTTTCTGTCAGGATTCTGGAACTTTTATTTTTCTTGCAGCACAGGGGAAATTAGAATGAAGTTAAAATCTATTTGTTATTTACAATATACTTTCTTTTCATATTGAAAACATCAGTGATCTCATCACGCTAGTTTTGCTTTTCCCTTCTAATGTATATATTTTTAAAAAAACAGCGTATTTTCCACTTGCATACAACAATGGGTTGCACATTCCTGAGGTCCTTAGGAATTATTCTAAAATTGACTGCAGTGGGGGTTTCCTTTGACACTTAACCATGTCACTTCAAAGACTATTTTTAATTACGTGCCCAAGAGAAAACACAGTTTCTGCTTTTAATTTATTTATAATCATGAAGCCTAGCAAAATCTTAAAAAAAAATAAAAAATAAAAACTCTTTCTGGACAAGAAGGACTATAGTTTCCCACCCCTCTCCCTTTGCAATATAACAATGGTGGAATACCAAGAAACAGAATGAACACAACGTACAGCTTGACCTCAATGCAGTCACGTAAAAGAACAGAGGTAATGTAAGAAACTCACTCAGCTTTCAACGTGCTTCTCCTGGGGATTGCGTAGTATCATGAAGCGCAGTTCTCTGGGAAGGAAAAAGAGAGCAGAGCCTGCTTTATACTCATATGCATCTCTATGTATATTAGTGTGTGTGTTTTACATTACATTAAATCTTTTGTTGGCTTTCAGACTCACTCTGAGTGAAAGTGCACAACCAACACCTACACTGTCAAAGTTCACTATTTTCCTTCTAGTCTAGTTTACATATTGCTGCTAGAACCCTTTCATCATGTCACTCGAGGACTCTAAAATCTCCAACAGCTTTCCACCACCTATAGGACCAAGTTCAAACACCATACCTTGTCATTATATTGCATCATTCTCCCTCTGCCAAAGTATCTCCACATTTGCCTCCACAGGAGTCTTCTCCTTCATCTAGACCCAGTCCTCATTGACCCTTGAGTGCCCCTGCTCTTTTTCAGCCTTCCTTTATGTTGTTTCCTATATCTCTTCATTAATTACATGGAACCCATCAAGGTCCATTTAAGACTACACGTATTTACCATTTCACTGAACTAGTGTACCTTTCTTCTTTCTGTGACCAACAATGGCACTTCTTCATATACGACATCGCATTGTTACTCAATTGATTCATAGCCATGCATCAGCAGCCTCTGTTAAACTATATTCTCAGATGATGTAAAAAGTCTGATTTTTTTTTATCTTTGTTGTACCCATTATACCTATTGATGCTAAACATAATACCTGCATTACTAAATCTCAGGTATTTTTAAAAGTATATACATAAGCAAAGTTAAATATGTATAAGTATAGTATAAGAGAGGATTATAGTTCTGCAATTTCCCTTCTTCCTCTTTCATAAAAAGGTTTATTTGGGTATATTTCTCAAAGAAGGGTTATAAGTTCCCCTATGTGTGATCAACAGAAATGAGAACCAGGATGGGCCTTTGAGTGTATACCCAAGGCACATGCTAGTTCTCCACCAATAAAGAAAAGAAATAGTACAGGGTTGGTTTCATAACTCTTCTTGGATGAACTGTGACAAGTATGAAAAATTCATACTCTCTGTAGTCATTCCCATTGCAGAGCATAGGGACATGGAGGGCAGGAGCAAAGGTAAAATATTATAATCATCATGCTAGATAACTTTCTCCTGGATCTGTTTCCTGCTAGATAAGACCAAAATGAAATTTAGTTTGACCATTCACAAACCAGAGCTTCTCAGGTAGTTTATTTAATGTAGCCCTGTGAACTGAAGTTTGGGGAGCTATTGCAGGAGTAGCTCTTCTCAAGAGACTGTTCAGAGAGTCCAGGTACCACTCTGACACCGTTCTATCATATTGGCTCTGCAATTCCAGTTGAAATTAGCATGGAATTTTGCCAATGACAGCAAGCTGCAGTGGTCTTTTTCTTAACACTTGGAACCCTTACTTGGAAAATAAGATGCTGGCGAGAGTTGAGGGTCTTGAGGTGCACATTGTTGCGGAAGGTTTTCTGCCATCCTTGCTGTGGCAGCTGTGAAGGAGGGTGGCACATAAATGAGTCACCTACCAGGTAAATTGCCAGAAAAAATACAGGGCACCCAGTAGAATTTGAATTTCAGATAAACCTCATAATAGTTTTTTAACATAATTTGTAGAGTATTTCTCATGCAATATTTGTGACATTTAACACATTTATAATTATCTGAAATTCAAACTGAGCATCAGTTTATTAAATCTGGCAATCATGTAGACAGATGGTGAAGATGCTTTTATCATGGCAGAAGGAAATAACATTTCCCATAGAATTTTTAGGGCCCTTATCAAAAACACATCTTTTATGAGCCTATCAACTGTTACAGTTGATACTTTCCTTTTAGAAACCAAATAATGTGACATTTGTCTAAAATATGAACTATACTGGAAGAAGAAAATGCCATTGCTAAAACTTAAAATTCTCTATTTTTGCCATCCCATCTCTCAAGTAGAAATACTTAGTATCTTGATTTAGAGAAAACTCAGTGATGATAAAATAACTACTATCAAACTCAGCATCCATATGTAGAGGATTGTGACAAGGAGGGTACGTCTCATTTTTAAGCAGGTATACAAAAATTGTTATTGAAAAACCATTTTTTAAAAAAACTTCATGGTTCCAGCTAAGTCAGCCAGTCTTATAATGGGCTCCTTCCATCCTCTCTGACAGTCTTTAGTAACTTGACTGAATTTACCAGCCTCAGGATACAGGCTATGTATCACGCACTAGCATCAACAGGTCCAGGAAGCCCTGCCCTGCAGCCTCAAATGTACATTTCTGGATGGATGTTTTTCATTTGCTGTTATTCTTTCTAAATAACAAAAATCTGTTCCTGACTTCTCAGCATGGTAGCTTATCATCAGTGAATAAAACTCCAAAGAAAACAAAAGACATCACCCAATTTGGATTCTGCTCAGTAAAAATTAGTATCTTTGGTGAATGCAGGACTGTGAAACTGGCTGCTTTTCCATGACTGTGTCAGGGTAACATCTGGTAATGCATATTATGTCCTGACCCACACGAAAAGACCTGAGAAGAGCAGCAAGGATGGGATGACAGTTTAGCCAGAGATTTGGAAAGAGCCATGTGCATAGACAAGAAGTATGCTTGACCTATTTTGTTTTACTTGGAAGATTCACACTACCAATCCCATGGTTTTGGATAAAACGTTAAAGTGTTTACCTAAGAATTTTTGACTGGCAAGTTGATGACTGATTAATAAATTAAATCAGGTCAAGAAGACACTTGATTGATTGGTAAGTATGTGCTAGTTGCTGTGCTTACTAAAAGTTAGGGAGACACTCAAAATGAGAGCCATTTAGAAAGACTGACTGAAAATTATAGCTTTGTAGAACTTACGTCCTGGGGAGTTCAGATGAAACTAGAATTGGCCTTATGTGTATAGCCTAATTTTTTTCCAAATTAAACATATTATTTAATCATGTATTTTACTTTGGAAGCATCTTAGAATAGTTTAAGGGTATTGTTTTCTATTAATGCTATTCCACTGACTAGAATTCTTTTCCACAACCAACCCTGTTTCTGAAGTAAAAGTGGCTTTACTCAGCATTTAGAATCTTTTTCCAAAGCGCAAAAGGCAGGTGCCACCTGGTGGAAATTTACTAGAAATCATTTTGATTCCTACTGGGCCATGGAAAAGCTGTACACTTTTCTCTTTTAAAATGGTGGAAATTTACTAGAAACTACTTTGATTCTACTGGGCCGATGGAAAAGCTGTACACTTTTCTCTTTAAAATGCACGTATGGAGGCTTGAAGTAAGAGAATCGCTTGAACCCAGGAAGGAGGTTGTTGCAGTGAGCTATCGCCCCACTGCACTCCAGCCTGAATGACAAAGAGAGACTCCATCTATAAAATAAATAAATAATTTTAAAAAGCATTTATTTCTTGTCAGTGAACAGAAGTTATTCCTGTCACTTCAGAAAAAAAGTTTATTTTCATAAATTATGTAATTTTCAATGAGATCTGTCATTGAAAAACACAAAGATTTGGAAGGTGGGAAGACAAAGCTGAGAGAGAAGTCATGTCATGTCACAGGCTCCCAAGTCAGCAATAATATAGGGAACATGGTGAGAGGAGTTTACAAGGACCCATTTGATTGGCCCTAAGTGGGATTGTCCATAGCAAGTCTTGCTTCTGCCAGGATTTATTCAAGAGTACAAATTATATCCTATTTCCTTCCAAGAAATAGAAAACTAAGAGAAAGAAACAAACTTTAATTAATTATTGCATAACTTTAATATTTTTCAAATTACAAACACACTTAATCATCTAATTAAAGAAGGAGCAATTAGTCTGAGTACCTTCCATTTATGTGTGTCATGTTTAAGTATTCAAGAGAACATTAGTTAAATAATTAGAGCTGTGTTGCTAAGCAAAGCATTTCAGAAAGAACTATTTACTTCTTGTTAATTCAAAGAATGAAAGCAAAGAGAAACAAAGAGAGAAAACAATAGCTTGAGAGAAAAAGAGAGAGAGAGAGAAGGCATGTGAGAGAACCAAAACAAGAGAGAAAATGTGAGGGAACAATGGAAGAAAAAAAGGAAAGGAGTGGAGAGGAGGAAAACGAGGAGGTTGGTAATAATTAGGTCATTGCTGTGGTTATTTAAGGACTACATAAGCAATATTCACATCTCTGAGAAATAAAACTGAGGAACTTCTTTCTGAGGACTGTCAATTCCCCACTTGTTAGGTTTTTAACAACTTGAGTGACAAATCTTCAGCAAGTTGGAGGTTTTGACTTGTGTAAAGAGAATGTCTGAATTCTTGGGGAAAGTGTGTAGTGTCATAACTAATGTCCAAATATAAGTAGTAATTTCAAAGTAAACAGATTTACAGGAAGTTTTCAGGGACTTCCAAGGTTCTGTAAATACTTGTTTTACTTATCCCTGAACACTGGCTTGAAAGACTGTTCTCTCTTTTCATCAGCAAAAGTTAATGAGCCATTTCTGAACTTGTATGGAAGCTACACAAGAATTTAATCCTTATGTCACTGAGCTAATATGTTTTAAAATAATTATTATTTTAGTAAAATCAGTAACATCCTTTTCATTGCCTTCCTATTACTTTTACAGAGTAGGTCTCAGTGCATCGCTAGCAGACAAGAAGCATCTGAGAAGAGTTTTTTTCATAGTTCCCAAGCACCGAGAACTCAAGTTTCTCAGTCATACAGCATGACAACAAGCTGCTCAGTTGTTGGCAGCTGCTTGTGTGCAAACTATGAATTGAGAAACCTGGAAAAGAAACTTCTCTGCCAGTTTTCAGGGGTAGGTAAAAGACTGTTTACAGAACCTTCGAGGTCTCTGAAAACTGCCTCTAAATCTGTTAACTTAAGGAGTACTCATATTTGGACATTAGTTATGGCCTTACACACTTTCTCCAAGAATTCAGATACTCTCTTTACACAAGTCAAAACCTAGAACTTGCTGAAGATTTGTCACCCAAGTTGTCAAAACTTAACAAGTGGGCAAGTGACAATCGCCTCCCAAGAAGGAAGCTCTATACCACAGGAAAATTATGGTCAGCAA